TCCTGGGTTCCAGTCAATTTTATTGTTTACCATTTAAAATGTCACAAAAACGTTTCGGTGTTTTTCTCCACCATCATCAGTTTGTATGTATGGTTGTGTGAAACAACCATACATACAAACTGATGATGGTGGAGAAAAACACCGAAACGTTTTTGTAATATGTTAAATGGTAAACAATAAAATTGACTGGAACCCAGGAATTTCTTTTGAATTAAACTAAATATTTATTTTTTTGGCTCTGAAGGATCTAATGCGTTTTTAGATGAGCTCGTTGCATTGCACACGTTGCTTAGATAAAAATATTGCGTTTGAGGCGAAATTGTTTTTACCGAAAGTTTCCGAGGTACAAAAAATGGTTTTTTGCGGTTTTTTAGGTCGGGGAATCAAAATTCCCCATTACTTACTTTGGAGTTTTCTGAAGCTGCAACATCAGAAAATTTTTCAAATCAAAAAGTGAAAAATTGCTAACTTTGCAGTGTTTTACGAATTCAAAGTGTTTAAACAGTTGCTTTTTTAAATTAAATGATAACTGACAACATTAAAGTAGAAAAAGCAATCAAAACGGTTGTTCTTAGGTGGGTGTCACATTTTATTCGATGGAAGCAAAAACAGTATGAATCCTGATTAATAATACATTGAACTGGTTTCCAGATCACTTCGACATTCCGCCGAGATAAATAATATGATAATGAGCCGCATATTTTGGCAACCTGTATTGTGTTAATGCCGGTTCAACGACACCGATAAATTTGTCACATAACTCATAATGCTTCGGTTGGGAGTCCATTATCGGACAATTAGCATAATGCTGTTAACGCGTTAGTAAAGACGATGTTTTACTTGAAACTAATTAGTCAATTTCCCCCCAAAAAATCACAGATTCTAAGATGATGGATCGTTTCTAAGGAGCTTAAATGTGGGCAAATTATGCGAATGTGCACATTAAGGCAATAAATCTTTTTCGAGCCTTCTCTTTTGGTCTTTCTTAAAAGAACTGTTAAACACTGGTTAAAACTGTTTCTGAGGATGGCTGCAAATCGAAAAGTTCTTCACGTATAGAACAAACTTCGGGTTCCTGCGCAAATTAATGTGGAACTACGACCTACTTAAAACTCCCCAAAATATGATACTTTGAAAAATCCTAGAAAATTTCCTGATAATGGCCGAACATCGAACTTTTTGGCACTTGTGGAGTGAACTTTTCTACGCAATTTGCCTACACAAGCGACTCTGTAACTTAGCTGATTTGAAAATAAGTCAATACCAAACTCGGATCTGCTTGCAAAAACCGACTAGATAAACCAGACGCCATTTGAAATTTAAAAAAAATGCCTGAGGATGACTGAAATTCGAAACCCTGGCCACTTATAGAAAAACGATTTTTTGCTTTACTAGATTCTGCGGAAAAAATGTCGGAAAGTTTATGTACAATTAACTGAAGATGACTTTTTAACAAAAGTCTTGAAGAATCGAAACATTTTGTGATTGGTTGGAATCAAAAATTAAAGGCGGTTTAATTGAGTTTAATGAATGGCTAACTAGTGTGCATAGAAAACCACAAAAATCAAAAGCAAAATTTAAAAGCCTCTGGAAAATAACCTGATGATGACTAAAAATAAAAAGAATCACTCCTTATGAGCAGACTTATCTGCTTTCTGAAGAAATAACTGCCGAACTCCGGCTTGCATAAACAAGCGCATAATTTAATTTCAAAATCAAAATCGAACCTTTTTTCTCACACAAACGCAACTTGACCGATTTCTGCAAAAATAACTGCCAAACTTTTTCGCGTAAAAGCCAGCTTTGACGCCGGGAAATCAATATAAATTGGTCCAAAATTTTGAAAGATCGAAGACGCAAAAATTTTCCTTTCGGTCAGCAAACTGCGACTCGTTTTTTCTGAATATCCTGAAAAGGCCGCCAATAGCGATAACGACCGATTAAGTGCCCATTTGATGTGGCCAATGATAATTCCCACTCATCGTGCCTTAGAAGAAGAATTTAGTAAAGAAACGTTGTTAAAAAACTGAGCTGTTTGGCCTTTTTTGACTCCACTGGTTAAAGAGCGGGATTTTTCCACGTTTGGCAAGTCAAGTGCTCAATTAAGCCCTTGGCTGGAAACGCTAATGAATAGCACATGTTTTCTGGGAAACAACCGATTTGCCATGGAAAGCTGCGCTTTTCTTGGGCGATCTTTGATCAACATTTTTGCGCTTCAGTTCGCTAGAAAAAATGAAATTCTGGCTACAACTGTTTTTGTACGCAAAAGTAAACTTTCGTATGGTTATCCAAAGGCGGGCTAATTGCTCAGCAAATAGCAAATATTACATTTTGTCAATATTAGACAAGCTCACATAAACCCGATAAAATCGCTTCCAATCCGTAATAATCACCACTTTTGCGGATAAAAAACCGGTCTGTTTGACTGCAAATTTTCAACATAAAATCCATACATACCTAGACAGGAAATGCAGAACGGCAAACAATGTTCAAAGAAAAATCGCACCTGCACTTGCACATACGGAAAACAAATCACCCGATGATACCAAAGGCAGTATCTTCAATGTCAATGTCGCAAGAACTAAATGCCTGAAAGGTTCTGAAGAGCCGCTCTTATACGATGAAATGAAGACGCCGAAGAATGGCCAGTTCTTCGCTGGATTGGTTGGGTACGCATTTAGCGAAACCCCAATTTCGACGCTGGTCCAAGAACTGGATTTTCGATCGGTTTTTTTGCAGTTAACGTTGATCCGGATTAAATCAACATGAAGATGTGAGTGCATTCGAAATGGCAACGAATGGCCTTGAACTTGAACGAAGAAACTGGTATCGGTTAATTAAATGATAAATCTTCAGCTGGAGGACGCTTGGTAGCCCTCGCAATATTCGATTTGTTTCAATTGAACGTAGTAGGAAGGCAATGAATAATCTCGATTCAAGTTCGATTAATTACCGTTAATGTTAACGTTACAACAGTTTGCTGATTAAAGGTAACGGATGTTCATGCTGGTGAATGTGAAGAACAAATTTGCGTAGATTTTTCTGTTTTTCCCTGCAAACCATCTTAAGTTATCAGGTCTTCTGACTGATATCGGAGTCTAAAGAAAAACTCCTTAGTTGCGTGAATCTGGTGAGCTTTTGGGCCTTTAGGCCCTCGTGGTTCCAGCAAACCACCTCTGAAGATGCAAGTTTTTTGTGCTCTTAGGAAGATACTCTGTTCCTCGAAGGCCTAAAGCCCAAAAAGCTCCTCATTTCCATCGATCGCTGTATTGGGCGACTTTCTTGGACAAATAATTGGCTGATCAATATTTAAACTACCTTGTTAATTGCAGAAAAAAACGACACCAAATTTAAAATTCTATCGAAAAATCGTCTGTAGGAAGAATTTGATGAAATATTAATCGGCGAAAAAAGCCAATATTTCTTTTCAATTCGAATCAATATTAGCAAATTGGCCTCGTTTGTCGATTTATTAATGTTTAAAAACTGTGAAGCCTCCCACAGCCTCAGTTTATTAATAATGACAAAGAAAGGCCACAAATTGCTTGATTGATTTCAAATGAACGCGAAAGACAAATGTGGACTTTAAACTTTGCATTATTAATGCGTCTCAGTCAAACACATAATTAAATATTTATCAAAACGAAAAAGTCCTGATAAATCGGTCTGTTAATCTGTAACGAAAAACGAAATTTAGACCCGCATCAACGTTAAATTCTC